CCGTGTCCCTTCCTTATTTCACCTTCCCACGTGTATTTTGCTGCCATCATGGACCCAATACCCTTTGACTCAGTGCTGTGTCGCCCATCCCTCCGGATGTCCCCACCCCCTTTTAATAAATTTAATTTTTCTTTGTCCCGTGTCTGGGATGGTATTTAGCCTGCCTGAGCACCTCCCCCAGTGACTGTCAACCTTCCCCTCCAGCCAGCTGCCACTCTACACCTACTTGCCAGATTCAGAAACGGTGCAGATGTCGCCCCGTCCTGCTTGCCCATCCTTGTGGGCTCATACCTAAAAAAGAAAAAAAGAGAAAAAGTCTTCACGAGGCTTTAGAAGGGGAGAGAGTTGGTGCATGGGTTTAATCTGCCATCTTTAGCAAAGCCATCAAGTCAAGACTAGCCCGGCGGTAGCGGATGTCCCTACCCTTCAGAAAACATTCCAGGGCCCGGCGCCAGGCCCCCCTCTGGGAAGCTTCCCAGAACCCACCAGGGGGAAGGGCCTCCCCTTGGCCTGGGGCTCAGGGCCCATTCTGTCTGGAATTCCAGGTGCTGGTTTATCTCCCGGGGAGACTGGGAGCCCTTCCAGGGCAGGAGGGCTCCTGACTCTTTTATGAGCTGTCCCCTCTTTGCCCTTCTGACCATGGTCCCCAGCGTGGGCTGCGCAGCGCCTGTGCTCAGGCTGCTTTGTTGCTAGACAGAGAGAAAAAGAGAAGGGCACGTCAGGAAGAAATACAGCCTGGGCGAAGGCCATCATCTCGGATGCTCTTTCACCTGCTCTTGAACCCTCCTCGACCTTCTCCCTGGGTCTAGGACCGACCCCAGGACGCTTGCAAGTTCAGGAAGGCTGGGCCCCGGACCTCAGCTGCAGGCGCCCCACTGAGGGAACTGACCGAGGCCCTCCTGTTCCCGCGTGGCAGGCACAGCAGGCACGGAGCCTCGGGCCCACCATACTTTCATGGGTCCACGGAAACCGTTTGCTTTCTTTTAAAGAAAAAATTTAGCTCAGTTCAAAAAAGTTTTAATAATAAATTTATTTGTCTTTATACCAATGCAGCCATGAAATACAATGTTTAATGCCTTTTTGTGGAAGAAGAGGCCATGAAAGTCACCATGTTTCCTTGCCCCCTGCTCAGGATCTGAGTGGGGTCCTGTTCCTTCCCTCAGAACATCTGGGTCCAGCTCAGTTCAATGCCACAGACACGGCTGTGTGCTGGGCACCTGGACCCAGAGGCCAAATGTTCATGGGACCTCACCAGGAGCCCCAGGTTCACTGCAGCCCTGCCCTGTGCCCAGCAGCCAAGGAGCCTGGGAGAGGGGTTGAACAGGGAAGGGAGCCCTGGAGAGCGCCGATGTTAGCTGGGTCCTAAAGGATGGATAATTCTCACCCTGTGAAAAAGGCCTCCCAGGCAGCAGGGACAGTGTCAGCAAAGACAGATGCACAAGGCTGAGCCCGTTCCCAGCAGCGTGGGGCCTGCAAACCAGGCTGGGCCCAAACCAGGCTGGGCCGGGCCCAATCCTCGCCCCCCGCTGAGCGCCAGGCAGGAGCAGCCGGCCTCTGCTCCCCTACCGTGATGGCTGGGGCTCCTACCGCCCACGGGCAGCCCTGCCAATGTTCAACAACTGATATGCCACTGGAAAGTTCTTTCCGATTCTCAGCCGAAATCTGCCTCCTGATTACTCTGCCGAAACCCCTTAACCTATCTGTGCTCTAATTCCTCATCTCTAAAGTGGGGGCCAGCAACGGAACCCAGGGGACCTTCGGACATAGTCCCTGCCTGGCGGCCACCAGGAGTCCTCCCGTTGGAGATAAATGCCTTGCAAGTTCCCACCTGGCCTCAGCAATGATCATCACCGGGGCCCCTCAGCCTGGGCCCTGCTGGGTTCCCTGTGATGTGCTGAGGTCTACAAATCTATAGGCCTGACTCAGTGCACTTCCTTAAGTATCTATCTGATAGTAATTTTAAACATTATTTTTGAAAAAAAAGTTGCTTTTGTACCAAAACAAGCATGGGATATTATGGATTTGACTGCAGAATTCACCTAGATATTCGAAATAAATTAGGAAACATCTGGTTTCTTACAAACCCCAAACTTTGGGGGTCCTGTGGTGAGAGCTGTTTTCTGTAGGGTAAAGGTATTTCCTGTAGGAAAGTTCCAGAAGCTCTTCTCAGGGTAACTCATCTATCTGTTCCTTCTTGTACATGTGACATTGCTGGGGGCAGGGCTCTCAGGGCTGGGGGAGATAATGAACACAAGTGACTCTGAACATGGGGGGCTGGTGCCATGGAAGCTGTTGAGCTCAGCACTGTCTGGACCACAGGACAGCTTTGCAGAAGTGACAAGTGTGGGAGCTCAATCATGGAGGATGTGGAAACAGCAAAGGGGCTCTGGCCTTGAGGCAATAGGTGGGCTCTGAGGTCCCAGGCCCAGCCTTCCTGAACTTGCAAGCGTCCTGGGGTCGGTCCTAGACCCAGGGAGAAGGTCGAGGAGGGTTCAAGAGCAGGTGAAAGAGCATCCGAGATGATGGCCTTCACCCTGTCCCCTACCCCCGCCCACTCTGTGACCTGGGAGAATAAACCAGGGCGAGAAGGGGCTGCACTGGCAGCTGGTCCACACGGCCCTGGGGCCTCTGACCCCTCTGGGGATGTCAGGGCAGGAATGGAGTTTGTGAACTGGTGTCAATATCCCTCAAAGCAACTGCCGGACACTGTGTCTGCCCTGGAGGAGGCCATCGGGCTCACGGAAAGGGCACGCACCTGTCTTTGCCCTGGGCTGACATGGCCTCTGCTCATGCTGAGCCTGCCCAGAACGGCAGTGATCTGTGTCCTTGCTGGGTTTCAAAACAGGGGCCTCGGAAGGAAGAATCATGAAAGATGTTTTTGTTGAAAAAATGTTTGGGGGCCCATCTGAGAGCCTCTCTCTGGGCTTCAGCAGGGAAGAGACAACATCTGGGCTCCAGGAGAAGCCGCAAGTAGCACCTGCTACATCGAGGCCCCAGGTGGAGCCTTCACTATGCATGACTTTATAGTGTGCGCCCACGTGTGGTGGCGGTGGCAGTGGCGGCGGGTGAGGGGCAGAAATCTCAGCTCATGCTCTTGCAATGTGTCCCAGTCCTTTTCAACATCGTGGGACAGGGCCATTCTTACCTCTGTGGTGGCTCAGACATATCAGGCCATCTTATGAAGTAGTGGGTCAGATCCTCATTTTATAGATGAAGAAACCGAGGCTCAGCATGGTCAGAAGGCTCGCCCAAGGTCACACAGCTACTCACTTATTCAGTCATTCAACACACATGTGAAGGGCTACTACGTGGCTGGCACTACACTGACCCTGGGGCCAGGACCCAATGGATTAAGGTAGACAAAGACCCACTCTCCTGAGTGAATGAACATCTTAGTGAGTTATAGAGACAGATAAATGAGCAAGAAATGCTGACAGTGAGTTTCTGTGAAACAGATTAAACAAGGAGACGGGGCAGACGTGGCTGCGGTGGGACCAGGGCAGGCCTCTCGGAGGAGGCAGCACTGGTGCTGAGGCCTGAGCAACAGGAAGGAATGAGCTGCATAAAGAGCACGATCAGGTGCCTTTCCCTAGATGTCAATGTCACAGGCCCAAGTGGCTCCTGACAGGTCTCGCTGCCAATGTATCTATTAGTGGTGGGGACAGAAACACCAACACAAACCCTACTGAAGATGGCCCATGGGCATCCACAAAGCTCCTGACGCGACCAGATGTGTTCCTTCTGCCCACCTGCCTCTGCCCCAGGACAAGCAGTGGTTCCCTATGGCTTGGCCCCATCTGGTCTGATCCAGGCCAGGCCCTCAATCAAGCCTGTGACTGAGTCCAAGGGACTCAAGGGACAAGTGAACACAGGCAGCAGGTGGTGGGTGGGCTTCCCTGGTTCTACCTGACCTGACCTCAGGGAAACTGGGCGCCTTCCCCACTGAGGCCGTGGGAGGGGGTCAAAGGCCAGAGAGGGGCTCCAGCTGGCTCCTGGCAATCTGCCCACCTCTTGTGTGAGACAAGGGGTGTGCTGGCCCATGGCTGCGCAGCTCCACCTGGCTGCCTCGGTTCTTCTTGTCCTGACCCTTGCCACTTAAATCTTAAAACAGACTCCTGAGCTCCCCTTCTCCTCCCCCTCTTACTCCACCAAAGGGAACCCGGAGGCTGATGCAGTGCCCCTCTTGCCCTCAGGAGGCAGGCTTAAGGGGACAGGGCACACAAAGCCAGCAGGGCAGTGCCCTGCCCCCACATGCCTAGGGCAAAGCAGGTGCTGGGAGGCCCTGGGGCCTATAGGGGCTAGACAGAGCCATCTGTGCTGGGACTTTTGCCCATATATCTGTGCCTCAGTCACTCATCTGTGAAATGGTTCGCCCTCCACTTCCCTCTCAGGGAGCTAGGCTGACACTGTGGCTGTAAGTCGTCAGGACCCTCTGGGGGACGGCCTCCTCAGCCAAGAGGCACAGATCCTGAAAGGCAGTTCTGCCCCTGCCCCACCTAGAGTTGCTTCCCAGCAGAGGGGAGGGAGGTGTCTGGGAGCCCACCACCCAAACGCTGAGCCTGGCTTTGTCCCTAAGCCACACAGCATTTGTTTTAGTTGCAGAGGTGGTTGTGAGTAGATGAGTTAGTTCTTAAGTCCCCCAAAACAGGAAGAGGCACTTTATGGACTGGTATTTATAGAATATTCTCCACCCAAACAGAACCAAAATAAAGCAAAGGAACCCCTGAACATCCACTGTCCTCGTGACCTGAAGCTCTGGCGGCCACACCACCACCGGTAGCCGGGAACAGGGCACCACTGCAACCACTGCCAGAGAGGCTGCAGCAGGGGACTGTTACCTTCTCCAGCTGTGCAGCCGCAGCCCAGGGGCCAGGCAGGAGGCCAGGTTCAAATACCAGCTCTGCCATCCTCAGCCTGGGAGCTGGAGGACAGGAGGCATCCGCCTCCCCTGACCAGGCGAGTTACACAAGACAGGAGTGAAAGCACCATTAACACCACTCTGTATAATACCACCATTTATTACCTCTTTACTGCGGTAAAAAGGTGATTCTATTTCCAGAGACCACACAGCATCACCAAGACATTCCTGGAAGAGAATTCCCTTTGTTCCCATGCCCTTGTGACTAATTTTAAATCTGTTCACCTGAAGAACAGAGGTGGCTTCAGTGGAGGGGAGGGAGGGCTCTCTGCTGAGAAGCGCACTTCCATTGCTCCTCCAAGCTTTCCTTGGGAGCCTTATCCCGGGACCACAGGCCGAGCAGGTTTGGATCCAGCTTTTGACTTTTCAGAGTCCAAGCACACTAGAGGCCACACACAGTGGCCAGTCCCTGGTGAGCAGGGGTGGGGGCGGGGGGGGGCAGGGTAGAATCCAGGGGCCTCGGAGACTGACAGGTCTAAGACCTGCTCCACCAGACTGTGTCACTTGGGCACAGTGTGTCCCCTGGGCTTGCTTCTCCTGTGAAAACAGGACAATCTCTTCCCCAGAGGTCAGAGAGCACTTGTGAGGTGGTCTACCTCTGAGCCTGGCTGCCCTGGGCCTGCCCATGGCTGTAAGAGCCGTGCATGCCTCCAGCCCTGGCCCACAGTGGCGGGGTCTCGAAGAACCTCTTCCCTTCCAGAACCACTTTCCACGGCTTCCTCTCACAGGAGCCTGGCCTCACTCAAGACCTGTTCCCTACGTGGAGCCAGCAGCTCATCCTCAGTATTAAAGGTCGCTGATCTCTGTGGCTCCTCACCCTGCAGCCTTCCCAGCTTCAGGACAGAAAAGCACAGCGTAGTCTGTGGACACCGATTTGGGGCCTCCCCGCACTGGAGGGACCTGAAAAGAGGCCACGGCCCCCGCTCGGTCTGGACACATCTGCTCTCCTGCACCCCCATCTCTGGGGAAGCCCACCAGCCCAGCCTACCCTCTTTGGGGGCTCCAGGGCCAGTGCTCCTCTTGGACCAGCTACCTCGGTTCCTTTCCCCCTCACCTGCCCCTTCTGCAGCCATCCCAGACCCCAACATCTCCCTGGTCTTCCTGAGCAGTTACCACTGACAACGGCCCAAGCTGGCCCAGGGAGGAGCCCAGGGACCGGTGCTGGCTTTGAAGGCATAGATATCAACTGGAATTTACTCTGCAGGTTGGAGAAGAAAGGGGGGACCCACCAGCCAGTGGTGAGGGGGCACTAGGACCGGCCATAAGCCCTTTCAGGGGGAGATGGTGGCGGGAAGGGGTAGCCTTGAGAAAGCAGTGGCTGCTGAGCCTGTGATATGAAGGGTCACAGGAGAACCTCTTCACGTTCTTCCCCACTTGGTGGCTTGTAGGTCAGCCCGGCTCCTGTACTCGAACCCTTTGTTCTGAGAAATGGCGATGGTCCTGGCTGAGGCTGCCTGAGGGAGTGACCTCCAGCTCCCTGTGCAGTGAGTGACAAGGCATATCTAAAGGGTCCACTCTACACTGGCGCTAAGAGGATATCTCTACAGCACTGGGAGCTGGGGGTGAGAGAAGGTGCAGGCTGAGAACTGGGCTCCCACTGGCCCCCACGGCATAGGCGATTGGCGAGAAAAAGCCCATCCTGCTCCAGCGGTGGGCTCCTTGTCCTCATGCAAGGTCCTGCTCGGGCTGCACTCCCCAGCCTGGGCTATGGTGCTGTCATCACACTCTGCTCGCCATGGTCCACGCTCCAGAGGCGGTAAAACTCAGCAAAGTCCACGTAAGGTTCAACGCGGCCATCCTCACCAGGTGGGAGTGAGTGGACAGGCCGGGAGCGGAAGAGTCCCCCGTCCGAGCTGGAGCTGCTGCTCTGGGTATGCGTGTTGGTGGACTGCAGGGTCAGGGTTGGGCTCTGGCTACAGGGATGACAGGGGACAGAGTCAGTCAGGGCCCTTGGCTTCCAGCCTCCGGACAGAGAGGCCCCTGCCTCAGGCCACAGGCCTCTCTAACAAAGGTGACACAGAGCCAGCCCAATCACATGTTCCTAAGGAGCAGATGAAAAGTCAAATGTGCTTTTCAAGCTCTAGCCATGTGTAGCTACGTAAATGAACTAAAACTAAAATGGGTCACTGCATCTAGTATTCAGTACTAGGCATGACTACTGGCTGCTGTACAGGACCTACAACCCTCAGAGCAGCACTGAGCTGGAGGTCATCCATCCCAATATCTCTGGTCCACCCTGATCCAACCCACCGATCACAGGCTGGCAAGCGCTCTTCTCTCAGAAAACCTTCCTTACTCCCTCCCTCTCATCGGTTGAGAAGATGGGTCTCCCATGTTCTCAGAGCTCCCTGGGCACCCACCCTCTGTCACAGGGCATGTCACAGCTGGGAAGTATCTGCTGGCCCACCAGCCTGCAAACTCCCAGCACCGCCTAGAACCCAGAACTGGGACAGCCCACAGTGGGGCCCAACTAATGCTCCGATGCAAAACGGAGGGAAGGGGCTCTTTAGGGGCCCACAGGGAGTTAGGGGGTTCTTCTGCCTGGTCTGGGACCACTGCTATCACGTTCTGCCTTTATGGACACAGCGGCTTCCTCTGGGAAGCCCTGCAGGGGTGGGGAGGCCACCTCAACTGTGCTCGGGATGCCCGACACTCAGCTGCCTGGCAGGCCCCTTCAGCCCTCAGTGGTGGTGGCAGCAGCAGAAGCAGCGTGGGGGAAGGGAGAAGGGAAGGCCCCCCCCTAGGCAGAGGGAAACAGTGCCACTCCCTTCCTAATGGCCCTTCCAATTGGCCACTTCCTCTGAGTGGGCTGAGTATGGCATCTCTGTTATTCTGTGCAGGGCTGGAATGTGGAAACCAGATCCTGGTGTCCTGGTGCGGTGGGGAGGTGTGGGGGGCATACATTCCACAGAAGTGAAGGGGGTGGGGTGAACAGCAGACCTGCAGGCAGGTCCACAGTAAGGAATGGGCCTGCCACCCCACCTCAGACTCCAGACCTCCTGCTGCCTCTTCCCCACCTCCCTGCCTTAAACTAGAGAGCTTGCTTCAAAGCTAGATCAGAAATTTTAGTCAGAGCGCACTAGCTCTCACAAGCCAGTACAGGCCAATGTCCCCCAGGCACGGATACCACTGGGGAGGCCACCCCACATCACACACTTCAGGACCAGAAAAGAGGGAACAAGAGGAGAATCTTCCCATTCAATGAAAACGAATACACGGGATCCGCAAGAAAATGTGACCAGCAGGCTGTCAACATCAGGTGCCTGTCCCTCCCGTCAGCCTCAGCCATTCTGCCCCTGGGAACCTGCCCTCCCCTCCCAGGTCCCACTTTAGCAAGCTGCTGGAACCTGCAGTGCTGCCTCTGCTCCCTCTGCATCTAGGAAGGCCTCCCAGGAAGGGAGGTGGGCATCTGAGAGGTACAAGACCCCAGGGCATCTCATCCAAGACCACTCAACTATGGGACCTGGCCACCAGCATCCCTGTTCCAATACCAAGGGCTGTCCCCAGGGTGCAGGCCTGCGAGTGGCTGGGGTGGGGTGAGGGCTTACTTGGTGAGAGTGGGAGTGGTTTCGTCCAGGGTGGAAGCACTGTGGGCCCCGTTGACCAGCTGGCCCTGCGAGGGCATGACGAGGGAGAGGGTCACGCTGGTCTTGCTGGTGCTCTGGGCGCTCGAGTAAGGCACGGACACTGGGTACACACGTCCTCCTGCAGCTTTGGAAGGAAGAGAGGGTGGACCACAGGGAGTGACTGGTGTGATGGGAATAGGGCTGCTCCAGGGCCTGACGGGGGTGGTGTCTGTGGGCTGAGAGGAGAGGGTGGTGACCCGACCTGGCTCCCCAAGCTGCAGGTTGGCCCTCTGCCCCTTAGGACAGAGAAGGAGGATCCAGTGGCAAAGATTTCTAGGCCAGGCAGGGGCTTGCACTTGGCAGCACAGCCCATGCTCAAAGCAGGAGCAGAACCAAGTGCTAAGCTGCTTGATGAAAGGGTTACTGCCTGGCTTCCCTCAACAACACTTTAATCTGAGGGGATCAGTGTGCTCCTCGTTGAGGCTGGCCCAACAAAAATATGGCTGCAATAACAACAAGCTAGAGAAACTCCAGTAAGCCTGGTGTCTGCGGGAGAACAAACCCATCCGGGCATGTTTGAGCACTCAGGCTTGTGTGAAAAAGAAAGAAGTGCAGGCAGGCCCCAAGCGTCTAGACGCCAGCAATATGGGGAGGAAGTGCAGAAAGAACCGCCGCCTTGCTTCCCCAGCAACTTGGTCCCAGAACCAAGAGTATGACGTAAAGTGCGTTCCTCTTCCCCCAACACGGCCCAGGCACAGCACCAGGCTCTGGGACCTTCTGTCCACGTGCCTAGGCTCACTTAAGTCTCTTCCTCCAAGCTTCCCTTTCTGTAAAAGGGGGTGCTATCCTCTTGAGGGTTGTTAATGAGGAATCATTTGGGTCAAGGACCAGGCCCTCAGTCAGTGGAAGCCACTGTTCCTATCACATGGCCTGGTGTCTCTGCAAGTACTTTGCATTCAGGTCATTAGGAGGCAGTCAGGGCAGTTGGTGTTTCCTCATTTCACAGACAAAAAAGAAGCAAATAATGGCAGCTCAGAGAGCTTGAAAGTCAGAGAGCCTGGATTAAAACTGCTCAAAGCCAGGCCTCCCCACTCTACCTGCTGTTTCAGGCAGCGAAGCTCATCGCCTCAGCTACTCTGCTCCCCACCCCTACCCTGACGGCCTCCTTAGGTGGCTTCCTATCTGCACTGCACACTCACCTGGGGCTGGGGATGCTGTAGGCTGGCTCATTTCACCCAGCGGGTAGCCAAAGTTCCTCACCAGCAGAGTCATGTCCTCATGCCTTGGGCAGAACTTGGCACGCTCCCCGCCACTGGCAAAGGTGTCACCATGGATCCGCTTCACCCGGTCCACCACGGCCTGGGCCACTGCATCCAGGGAAGTCTGCTTGGCGAACTCAGTGTCGATCATGGCAGCGATCTCCTGGGAGCGGGCGGGGGAGATCTGGTAAGGGACAAGAGGCCCAGGGACCGTGGGCCATGACTCTGAGCCTCCTCAGGACACTTAGGGTCACTGGTCAAGCAGGTGAAGGAAGTCTCCATCAGCCACACCTGCAATCCGAGCTTTTTAAGGTATCTGGGATAATCCTTCTGGAACTTTCTCATTAGAGAAGGTGTGACCTTGTTATCTCTCTTATTGTTGGCCTCCACACCAATAAAATAGGGAAATTATCCACCTCACTGGGTTATTACGAGGACTAAGTAGCTTTAATGGATGTGAGGGCACTCTGGGAACTGCTAAAAAGCCCTGTATAAATTGTGGTCATTAAGCTTTCTTTCCTGGAACAAACTCATTGTAGGCTATGATATGCCAATTTTGCCAGAAAATGGGGACACAGAATGAAGACAGGGTCCTAAGAGAAGTCCACTGTCCAGTATATTTTAGAACCCAGTAGAAGCCACTGGATAATTCTATCATGAAGCCCAAAGAAAAGAAAGAAAGAAAAATCACACTGATGATAAGATCAAAAACACAAAATCCTCTACATGCTGGATGGCCAGAGTTCCTTGGAGGTAGGGGGGCAGAGGCAGGTAATAGGAAATGACCTGGGGCCAGTCAGGTGGGCTCGGCTCCTCCACTGAACTCCGTGAGCCCCCGGCTCCCTAACTGGGTGTGGCGGCGAGCTGCTGCCCCTCTGTAGTGCAGGGCTACCAGAAGGAATAAGATAAAATGGGTGAACACAGGCATCAGAAGATAGGCAGGCACATGAGTTATGTTCCTACAAGACTCACGGACAGAAGGAGAAACACAATCTGAACTTATATGACCAACCCAGTCACCCAGGTCAGGGAAAGGCAGCTTCTCTTCAGTCATCCTTGCAGCGGCTGCTCTAGTGATGACTGTCTGACACGTATGCACTCCCAGGTGCAGGAAAAGTAAGCACTTCCCACCAGCCCGGGACCTAATTTATCACACCTCGCCCTCACCACGATCCCATGAAGGCAGGCGCTATCGTCCCACCTTAGACATCAGGACAAATGGTAAACTATCCGCAGCTGAGAGGAAGGTGAAGGAAGGGTGAGGCGGGACTTGAACGCAGCCAGCACGACTGCCTGGCCAGTGCTCTGTGTGCGAGGCCTCCCCACTTCTGCATTCTCACCCTCGGCCCAGGACCTTTCCCTGACAGGCTCCAGGGCAATGTGTGCCCACAATTCATGCCCACCTCACCCTCTTCCCTTCAGGCTTGGCTCAGGGCCCTGGGGGCTGACAATGCTTCAAGCCCTAACAAGCAAAGTTTTGAATGGGATGGAAGTTTTTGGAGCTGAGCTTTTTCTTCCCCAGCTCTGAACCCAGAAAAGATACCTGGCAATGGCATTTGAGAATCAGAGCTCTGGGGCCCTGAGCACTTTGGAGCTGAGCAGGAGGGCTGGCAAGGTCCCCATGGGGGCATGCCACCCTGCAGGCTGGCAGCTGCTCATTGCTTAGGCCCAACTCACCTGGTTGGCCTGTCCAGGCCCATGGGCTGCCTCCAGGGCCTTGTACAGCCCCTCGGACATCAGCACCAGGAAGCCAGTCACCCCGTCGAGGGGCTGTGCGCAGTGGATTTCAGGCTCCGCAATGATCGGCTTGGACTTGGAGGCGCTGGGGGAAGAGAGAGTAGAGGGGACAGCTGTACTTGGAATGGCCCCCAAGGGACATTTATTCTGCTAAGGGGAAGAATCTACCCCAGAATGTAAAATAAAACACACATCTGACAAGAAGAAAAAGAGAAAAGAGAAACCAGAAAAACAGACCTGTCTTCTGAGTACAGCCACTAAAAACAAGTTCTGAGGGTCAGAAAAGGAGAGGGCGGCTGGGCTCAGGACGGCAAAGGTCAAATGTCCAATCCTGGCTCCACACTGCATCTCCTGTCCCCAAAGCCTGGGCAGTGCCGGGGGAGGTAGACAGCGAGAGGGTGGGGTTCTCTTTTTATAGCCCACACCTCCTGGCCTCCTCCAAAGCAAGTGTCAAGCTGACTCAGACGCACCGACACTCTATCTGCACAGGGTCATTTCTGATGCACTATCAGAGCCAGCAAGTGTCAGAAAGTTCCTGCAGGTGTACGTGCACACAGGCAACTTGGAAGAGCAGAGTCTGGAAACATCCTGAGGGGCCATCAGTAGGGGCCAGTAGTTGAGTGCTGACACAGCCACACACTGGAATCTTAGCAGCTGTTACCAGATCGCCACCAGCCTACACTGTAAGTGGCAGGAATGGAGCAATGGACACCTAATGAAAAAGTGAGCTGCAGAACACTGGAAAGGGTATGCTAGCATTTAGTGGGTGTTTTGAAAAGGGTACCCGCCCCTGCCCCCACTCCACCAAATACACATGCACACACACAGGAACTTTAGGCAGGGTACACAAGAAACTAGCAGCATCTAGAGAAGGAGTCCTGTCTTGGGGGTAGGAGAAAAACGTACTTGGCACTGTTTGAATTCCTTTAAATCACATATGTACTTTCCAATAAAGAAACAGAACCCTACAAATTAGAAACAAGAGATTACAAACTCAACTGAACAAATCCTGTGAGAGTAAAGGGTTCTAACTCGTGCTCCTAAGACATGACAAGGTCTAGCCTCTGATGATGGGTCTTTGGCATGATTCCTCCATGGCTTTGACTGTGACATTAAATGCCCTACACGTGCATGTATGCGCGTGCGCGCATACACACACAGATGACTATTTTTCCAATCAATGTTAAAGACATGTGCTCAGAGTTCAGGCTGCCTGGGTTCAAGTCCTGCCTCTGCCCACGGCTAGCTCTGTGAACACAGAGGCTACCTAATGTCAACATGTCAGTTTCCTCATATGAAAATACCTTTAGATAGTAACAGTACCTACCTCCTAGGGCCTGAGGGAGGGCTGAATAAGAGAATGTATGTACAGAGCTGTGTACAGGCTGCCACAATAAAGGCTCACAGTTATTATCGTTGTTCACTTGCTGTTATGAGCACTGGATGGCAGCTGGAAGGGAAGTGTCCTTAGAGGGAAATGTTCAACTTGTCTCGCACCTCTGCCCTGGCCCTAGCCACAAACAGCACTGACAACAGGTGTTTGGTCTCTCCCTACCCACACCAGGCAGCTCAGGCTAAGCTTGGCCTCTGCTGCTAGGTCCTGTGGCACCAGCTGCTGCCCTTGGCGCTGACCTTTTGCCAGCCTAGCTCTACAGGACTCTGACTCTGGCCCCACACCAATGTCTCTGGGAGGAAGGAAGAGTCTCCTTGGGTTCTGAGCTACCTCAACTGCACCTTCTGTCCCTAGAGCCTGGGGTGGGTGGGCATAGCTGGGCTGGCCACCTACCTGAGCAGGTCGATGTCAGTGTAGCCATATTTGACTTTGTAGTCCCCAATGCGCCTGGTGCTCTCCTGCCCGCAGATGATCCCGACTTGCTTGATCTTTCCTGCGTCCAAACCTACCAGGCGAAGAACACAACAAGCCAGGCCTTGTTCAGAATGAAGAACAAGAAGACGGGGACATCACATCCATGAAAAAAGGGGCCCAAGGAACAGGAAATAAAGTTATACCAGGCGCCCTGGAGAGCAGCTGACCCAATGTCCCCCAGTGTCCTCAGTCCTCATAACACCCCCTCACTGGGAGTCCTTCCTCCATGATCCATCAGATCCAGCACCGCCCAGTACAGCTGCCTGGGAAGGGCGGCTGCTGTGGCAGTGGCTGAAATCTCAGGACTCCTCTGGCCTCTCAGTAACAGTGAGCATATGCCAGGTACTCTCGGAAACATTTTACATGCATTAACTCTCTTAATCCTCACCACACCGAGGCAGGTGTTACTATTAGCTCATTACACAGATGGGGAAACTGAGGTACAGAAAACTTGAGTAAGTTCCAAACATCACTAACTAGTTAGCAACAGAGCTGGGATTCAACCCCAGGCAGGCTAGTCCCAGGCCCAGGGGCACAGCCCATCCACTTCACACCTCTCTCTACATGACCACCAGAAGAGGGCAAAGGTGAGCCACCAGGGGTGCCCTCCCACCACTGGCCCCTTGGCCCATGTCCCCACTCACCCAGCTGTGACAGGCGGAAGAGCTCATCCTCATTCTCTGTGGTGTGGTCCACGTTCAGCTGTGTCACCTGTAGCCCGTCCACTGTGGATTTGCATAGAAGTGCGCGGTTTGTACCTGCAGCAGAATGTGAGCAGCTGAGCAAAGACTGAGCATTGGGAGGAAAAGGCCATGTTGAAGAGAGAAAGAGAGAGGAAAGGCAGTCATCGCACACACAGAAATCCTTGAAACAAGCAAAGAAAATAGGCTCAGACCCCCGGGTGAGCAGGAGTCAGGGAGAGTTGACTTTATTAAGGAATTAGGTTAAAGTTTTCCAGTGTCAACCTAGGATGATTATGATTATGGTTTTAATAAGAGACCTTTTGTCTAGGGAGATGTACCGAAATATTTACAGATACCAGGCCACCAGGTGTCTGGTGTCTGCTTCACAACAATGTGGGGACAAAGGGCTGTATATGAAATGAGAGTGGCCCTGAGGAGGGGACTCTTGAGGCTGGGACAGGCACACGAGGGTTCACTAAATGCTAGTCACTCTATTTTTTTTACATTAAAAATTTTTTTCCATAAGGAAATCTTAAGGAAAGGGGGAAGAAGAGAGGGATATTATCAGTGAGATCTCTGTAGAGCCCCTATAGTAATCGGTACCCTGGGGGTATACCCCTCTGAGGTTCCCAGATGGCCTCTTCTTTGCCCACAAATCCCACAAAACATCCCTGTGACTCCTCAGCCCCTGGCCCACACCCAGCCCAACTCACCGCCCTCCATGGGATGCCAAGTGGTCTTCCACAAACGACAACCTCTTCCAGAAGAGGAAGCCAATGAGACGATCCAGAGAGGGACACAACTCTCCCAAGGCTACAAGCTAGTTAGGGGCAGGATGGGGACTAGAGCTGGGCCACCTGCATCCCAGCCAGGTACTTCCAACTCCGCCCACTGGGACTGAGATGCTCTTGTAGAGTAACAGGGAAACCCACCCAATGGCCTCAGCAGACCTGGGCTGGAGGTCCCATGTGCCTGGAAAGCAGACTGCCCAAAGAACGCACGGACCCCCAAAGCCGACCTTCTCTCACAGCCTCCCAGCGCCCCCCCTTCCCCCCCCGGGGCAGACAGATGGCTCACCGACATTGGCGACGTAGAGCTTGTTGTTGAGAAGGACAGCCACAACAGCCATGGCCCCTCCCGAAATCTCCCTCTCCAACACCTTGAGTCTTTCAAGGATCTTCTGATACTGAGGAGGTAGCTGGTGCTGGGGGACACCCTACAAGCCACCACTGGGGGTAAGAGCAGGCTGGGTCCTCAAAGACCTCACCACCACTCCACCCCCCTTAAAGAGCAGGGGCTGGAGGCTGGACTGGGCTGGGAGCTGTACTTTCAGGTAGGCTTCTTTAGGAAAGCCAGAGATGACCTCACTTGTCCTGGCGGCTCTGAAAGTGCTGGTGGTGATGTGAGTGGGTAGGTGACAAGGCTGTGGAGAGACTCAAGTTGAGGACTGACCTCAAAGGGCCTTTCCTCACACCCTTCATTGCCTGCTCCCTGCTCAGCCTGAGTACAGCTGCCCACAGCAGCCAGGGAGGCCCCTTGGAAAGAACACCCATCATCACCTATGTCCCCCAGTCAGAACTGTCCCCTAACTCATGCTGCTCTGGCCCAATGGTGTCAATGGCTTGGGAGTGACATGGCAGATGAGTCTTTGCTCCTAGCAAAGCCAGCCTTGCTGTGCATCTGCGGGGGAGCAGGTTAGGGAGTTACCTCTGGCAGCTGGGACTGCAGGCTCGCCTTCTCAGCCAAGCCATCATCGATGGACTCCAGGAAGCTCCTCTCCACCACATCAAAGGCCTAGAGGCACAGAGAGGCCAGGGACAGGCGTCAGGGCAATGGCCGGTTCAAAACACCACTTTGGCCCGGCCGGCATGGCTCAGTGTTTGAGCATTGACCTATGATCCAGGAGATCGAGGTTCTATTCCTGGTCAGGGCACATGCCCGGGTTGTGGGCTCAATCCCAAGTGGGGGGCATGTGGGAGGAAGCCAATTAATGACTCTCTCATCATTGATGTTTCTCTCTCTTCCTCTCCCTTCCTCTCTCTGAAATCAATAAAAGACATATTTAAGAACAAAAAACAAAAAACACACCACTTCACCTGATGCTGTAATGCACCTGACTAATAGTGACAAACTATATTAAGTGCAGGTCATCATGTGGTGGGGGCTTCACACAGCACTGCAGAGTGACCAGAGAGGTTAAGGTTAAAGACGTAGAGGTTAGGAGCATAGGCTCGGAATCAGGCCACCTGGGAGTGAATTCCAGCTCTGCCGCTTGCCAGCTGGCAGCCTCGGTCTCCTCATCTAAGAACAGAGGTAAGTGTTGTTCTGGGTGACTGAGCACTCAGTACCTGGCTCGGAGTATGTCTAGATCAATGACAGCTGGTGTCATCACTACATCCCGCTGGCTCCTGAACACTGGGGGGACCAACTCAGAATTGCTGGCATGGGGCCCTGAGGTTGGGAGGGTGCTGGGCCTCTGGTGCTGAGGCAGGAAAATGGCTGGGAACGCTGTTTTCCAGGAACAGGAATCCATCTTCCTCATCCAAACTAAGTGCCTCCAGATGTGCTTCCAAGAAGAGATGCCAGGAAGAAAACCACCAAGACAGCAGCCAGCAGAAATGCAGAGCTGGCAAAGCAGTACTACACAACCAGAAGCAAGGAGGCGAGGCCCGGGGTGCTGGCAGTAACTAGAGGCTAAGCACCTAAGCAACACCCAAAGGAAAGGGACCATCCTAAATAACTCTAAATCAGCACCCCACTACACCCCTTTGTCCAAGGTTCCATCCCTACTTCCCCATTCCCAGGACTATCTCCTCCAGAGCTAACCCTGCCAGTTGTGGGTAAGGACCGCTGCCAGCTGCCTGCCCTTAGAATCCCCGGAACTGGGGAGCTCTGCCACTGGGATAGGCTCCCAAAGCTGGGTCTTCTGCAGGAGAGAAGGAGCAGCAGGGTCTTCAGACCAGCCCTGGCTAACCCCACACTTTATAGTTGCAGTCAGCCGGCCTGAGCACTGTACCTGCAGCAGCACACGCCGCACATCAGCCTCCGTGTGCTCAGTGTTGAGCTGGCCCAGCAGGAGCTCTGCCGACAGGCGCTGGGCCACAAAGTTGGTCACCCGGTTGCCATCATAGCCGTTGAAGACCCCATACAGGAAGCAGTTGTTCTCACTCCTGACAGAGAGAGAGGGGCAGGGGCGGCGTGAGGCCAGGGGCTCACAGAAGAATGATGCCAGTTCCCAAGTGGAAAGGGAAGAGGGAGAAAAATTGGGGGAGACCAAAGATACAGCAGCTGTGGCTTCAAGTGCCCACCTGAGTCCCCCACTTTGACCATCATTTTACTCTGGCCATGACCTTCGAGGATGCTCCCCGCCCCATTGTTGCAAGCCCAAGACTGGTCTGAGGTCTAGCTTAGGAAGGGACAGCAGTAGTTACCACCTCCCACGGGCCACATCTCACTGGCAAGCCTCACGCAAGACAGTTGCAAAACTGCTGCTTTTTCTTGCTTGCGAACCTACTTCCAATGCCCAGGAGAGCACTCCTGACACTCGCACCTGAACTTGAGCCAGTTGTCCTCCGGTGGGTGGCTCTCAATGCCTTTGCCATCAGCAGAGTAGCTTCGGTTGGAGGCTGAGCCCACCCCAGAGAGGTGGCAGAGGGGCAGGTCGTCTGTCCAGCTTGGCTGCTGCTCCTGGGAAGGACACCAGGAAATTATGAAGTGTTACCTTCTCCTCCAGGGCAGACCCCACTTCACCTTTTCTTTCCCAACAAAAACCCAGCAGGCCCAGAACCCCACACAGAGGGTTCTACTTCCTTCTGGAAATGAACTTGGATGAATAGACATCTACAGAGGGTTGGCATTTTTTTATGGCTAGTCCACAAAACTGTTCCTTGAAAAAGACCCGAGTTCCCAAATGCAAGGCTCAGCAGTGGGTTCCAGGCGTGAGCTATGCTACAAAACATGAATGAGACACACACACAATGAAGCAAACTCCTGGTAGAAAACTCTTTGGTGGCTCCTCACCTATCATTGCAATGGCTCTGACTCCAGTCCCCTGGGTACTGGTTAAAACTACAGATTTCCAGGCCCCACTCCCGGAATGTCTGCTCCTGGTGGGACCCCCGGTATCTGCATTATAGGCAGCTCCTCCCAGGTGACTCTTGAGAAACTGACAAGTTGGCCTTAGTGACAGTCCCTATCCCTGGCACTGGGGCCTCCACTGCCTGGTCCCCGCTCCACTGTGTTCTCTCCCATCGCTCCCTGCCACACTTCTCCACCTGTACCAAATGTTTACAGTGCCCTGTCCACACACCACTCTTTCCCTCCACATGTGACATCCTCCTTGTCCTTGTCTAGCAACTCTCCATATCCTTTGGGACACTGGCACAGGAATCGCCGCCTCCAGGAAGTCTTCCTTCAGAAAGACCCTCCCAGGCTTGGTTGAAAGCCCTCTTTTGTATTCCTACTACCTCTGTATACCTCACTCCTGCCCATCTGCGCCTGACTCCCATTTACCCCAAGGATGTCAAACCAGGCTGCTTAGTATAATCACGACATGGCTTTTAACACACACACACACACACACACACACACACACACACACACACACACACACACACACGTACGTACGTACGTATGTACGTACGTCCTGGCCCCAGCCCAAATATAGATTTGGAATTTCCTAAATCTCCTTAGGGTACATTCTGAGCACCTTTGTTTTTTTAAGCCCCAAAACGACTCCGATTCTGATGCAAGGCCCCAGCACAATCCCCTGCAGCAGTGAAAGCCTCCCCACACTGGCCCCCACTTGCCCCCCCCTC